ATTCATTCCCAAGTATTTCACCAGTGCTTTTAAATGGAAAACAATTGGGATTCCTGAGAAACAAACAGAAAATCTGAGTAGAGGAAGAGAAATATGTATTATTATAGAAGGATAATCTTACAATTAGAAACAATATTATGTTAAAAATACAAAACATCCAATAGAACTTATTACAAATCTTCTGCTCCTATCCTAGACCTCATTAGTGGAATGCTAATAGTACACAATAAGATAAACCATGCAAGTTAATTACTACCAAATCCTACTACCGTTTTACGCTTCCCTATTCCCATCAGTATTGAATCTTCTTCACCTGATTAGTGGAACTCAGCTGCTCGACACATGCTTCCCTAGGATATTGAATATCTCCTGCGTCTGGCAGATGAACCAGAGGACTTGGTATCTCCGGGAACCAATGAAGCTAGGCTTTGTGAACTCACGGATATCTGAGAGCTTCTATTCTCTGACTGACCTTTGCCCACCACCCGCAGCTTATTGAATATTCTTCTCGACCGTGATGGGAGTAACTGGATAAGGCTTTTACTAGTTTTGCTACTCGTCTTGGTCAGCTTGTCATTCTTTTGGCAATCTTCGTTCTTTATCTTGATTTGACTCATATTTTTCTTGAGGGAGTAGCAATCTTCATTTGCATCAGTGGTCTTGTCCCATTCTTCGTCTGTGTTTGCAATTGTGGAACGAGAAACATCACTAGGATTATTGTTAAGAGCTTGAACCCCAGCAGCTGCTCTAACCTGCTCAAAGTAGAGAACTTGAACCACAATCCGGAGTGAAAGTCGCTCATTCTGTGCTGCATGCATGGATACATCCATACTTAGTTTCTTGACATCCATCAACCCACATATCTTTTTTCTTTCTCCCTTTTCCAATGTCGGGTGCTCCTGGACACATATTATAAGCAATGGCATGAGCATATCAACAACTAAAAACCAAACCTGAAAGACTCGCGAGCATATGCATGCAGAGAAGTCTACGCACACTTAGAGAGTTTGAGAAGATATCTAGAGAACTGCAATACAAAGCATTAGAACTTACCTTCAAGTACAGGTCAATAGCTTTGTATAGTCCATCATGAATTGGTCTTGCCATCTCTGGAATAGATCGTGACAAATCAATGAAAGTAGTGGGATCAAAATTTGGGTCATGGGCAATTTCGACAAGATACCCGTCTATTAATTTACCAACATCCAACAAGGATCCATGCCCTAGTACAAAATCATCACATCCAAAACCATCATTCTTCATGACATCTACTAACTTTTGACCACAATTTTCATGCACGAAATAATGTTTCACAAGACACTTCACCAATTCAACGTCATACAAGGTAGTTTGTGGAGACTGTGCTGGGATCAATAAATCTTTGACTGAAGCCTCAGGCAACTTTAGACTGATCTTCTTCACCAAGTCTTCCCGTGATGAATCATTCACCCCAATCAAAACAGCAACTTTCAACAGTTTCAGCAAGAAACTACATGAACAACCCACACCCTTATCCGAAGGCAATAAGAATAGTAATGTTTCCACTAGCAACTTGTTTCTCCAAGAATGTGAATCAGCAACCAAAGCTTCAACAGAATCTGGTAACCATCTGACAGCATAATTCCTCAATGCTTCACCAATCATTGTAGCATCCATTCTTCCCTTCGATTTTATGGCAGTTATGACTCGCTTATAAAGATCAATGTCCAGCTCACAAATATCTTCAACCCACCAATCCTTTGGGACAGATTCAATCTTCTCTTGGAATTTCATACCTTCTTCAACTATTCTGTCAGGAGCTGATAACTTTCGATTATATGTGTAGGACCAAGTGATATTTGAAGGATCCACAGAGGTTTTGGATGCAATGGAGTCAATGCATCTTCCAACAATCTTCAGGTCTTCAGACCACGGTGAAAGACATTTTGTGGTTTGGAGAACAATGATGGAATCCTTCCAGCTGCGGAAAATGCTTGAATTTAGAAACACTTCAATTTTAAAATTCAGGTTTCCCCGATGAACATCTTCAGTCATCTCTAGGTACTCAGCCGCACAACGAGCTGCCACAACATTATATGCATTTAGAGTAACTGTCATCCCATAACAGAATTTTGCACAAATTTCAAATGCTTTTGGCCCCCCCGGGAAATCAGCCATGGTAATTTCATCAGAGCTCTCTTCATTGGCTTTGAGAACTAGTTTTTGCAAATGGTTGCTCTTAGACAAAAGAGGGAACTGCAAACATACATGACACAACATATTATAAACAAAGAAACAAACCAGAAAGCTGGGGCAAGGATGAGAGAGTTTTCAACAATTTTATGATGGTAGCTGGTTAAGACCAGCAAAGCATTTTAGAACATGTTAAGGAAAAATCCCACATTGATTAATTATGGGGAGCTAGTCTACCTGTTGACAATAGGTTCTCACAGAACACATTATTTCTGTTTGACAAAAAAAACTGAGACAGTAACAGATCCATCTTAACTCGAAACTTTTATGTGATTAATCACCTTCAATAGCAGCAGTTATGCAAGTTTTGCAGTGGTTGTTTATGGCATAAGTTGCAGGAAGAAAATGGTGCAAAAATAAAGATGCCAACTTACTCATCAAGGTAGTTTATTTATTAATAAGGTTGTCTGGATATCTCACACACGTTGATGGTTTCCACTTTCCAATGAGCAACAAAATAAAGATGAATAACTTTACATGGAAAGATACTAAAATCGAGCTAATCCATTAGAATAAATGACTTGATACATGCACTTTAACAAAGAAACGCAAGAATGGAGGCGGAAAGGCAGTGGAAAGACATACCTTGTGAAGGTGAAATTTCACTTCACCAACATTAATGATGACATCTGCTGACAGATCAGATTTCACGTACCTACAGAAACAGGTTGATTATATGTTAAACTCCAAAAAGATTTGTGCAGCTCACAGTAACTATAAACTAAAGCCAACTGATGTAGAAGTATCTGCATCACCAACTGATCCATCCATGCCCTCAAACTTCATTAGAGGATAACAAGAGCCAGAAAATCACAGAAATGTGTTAATCATCCTCAGATCTGAAAAGACCTAGCGTAGTGCTAATATTAACATTATGTCAGTTTTAAGACAATCTATAAACACCTTTAATAGATACATCCGGTAGTGCTCCCCAGAGACATTATTTCAGAGGATCAGATTAATGTGCAATGAAGCTGTATTTAGTTTTGCCTTATAACCAAAACCCCAGCACAAGTATGAAATTCGACCATCCACAGCAATGGACACACTTCACAACTACAAGGTAATAACAGACAAATTACCTCAAGCTCTCTAATGTCAAATCTTTCTTAATCATTTGCGATGTGATATCAAAAGGTCAATAGTCTGTAAGAAAAGTTTATTAATCAACCCCTGGATTGGAGATAATAGATCTACAAAAGATCTTCATGATTGCCTAAACAGATGCCATCTCCTACAGATATTTTTGTGGGCTGATCAAGGAACACAAGCATGGGATATACTGGACCACATTTCCACTGACCAAGCAGCTTTTCCCAGGACACTGCCTAACTCTCAATTGCACTCAAATAACATAATAGTAAGATGAAATGCTTCTAATCTCCCAAAAAAGAAACCACAAAGGAGGACATAGTTATGACAAGTATTTGTCAGTGTACATGTTTTGAGAAAGTTTTGTTGACATGTCATACGTTGAATCCAAGTGCGCTCGAGATCCCCAGTCAGGCTTTGTTGGGAGATGTGAATTGCCTGACATTAGGTGGAACGAGCCATTCTTCACTGGAAGAGATTCTCTGAACGATGATTGAAGCCTTTCATCCTACATGCTTTCCCACATTTGGACCACAAACCCATTATAAAGAATACATTTAAACAGCTGGACCACCTCTCAGAGAGATCCCAACTCCCCTCTCCCTTTTCACTCTCTTTTCCTTAATAATAAATTATAATGAAAAACCCCATAACCCATGTGGCTAAATCTATTATCAAAAAGGAAAACAAAGTGGGGGAAAGAAATCAAAATCTTTAATGGTTAATGGTATGTTTTCCTAACGGGTTTTCTCCATGAAATCTGTGTAAACTAGAAACAAGAAACATCAGGTTCTATGCAATGAGAAAATTCTTCGGAAGCATTACTAAGACATACAAAACACATTGTTTGGGCAAAAAGTTGCTAGGAGACAAGAGATAGGAAAACGCTAAACCTGAGAATCAAACTGACGCTGGAGAATGTCTAGAACACTGAACACAGCAAAAACTCAATGTAAATTGCTAAAGGAGACATAAAAAAACTCAAAGGAGATGAACGGATTTTACGGGAGAAATTAAGAAAAACATACAGACCCAATAAAGACGCAACATTCGGGTTTGTTGTTTGTTTGCAAAGAAAATCAAAGGCAAATAATGCGAGTCAAAACCTTACCGGGTGCATTTTCCGTCAGCTTGGAAGGCATCCGGCTTGGACCCAAGCTTCATAAACTTCATCTTCGTGCTTCTCCGCAATACCCTTTCGAAAACACCAAAAACCCAAGAAACCCTTCACGCTAGCAAGAAGAAGTCACCTCTGTTTGCTCTGGAGATGGACATAAGTTATATATGATATACCAAGAATCGAGCTTTCTCTCTCCCTTGCACTGTCAGTTGAAAACCAAACAGAAACGGAGACCAGGGAATGGCAGTTTCTAAGGGAAACCTTGTCCACTTAAACTCAACATCAAGAACACGCTAAAGCCAACCAAACATCAACAGCAGTCAGCAGTTACAGCATTCATTAGTGAAGAAGAACAACAATATCTCTGACTCTGGCTGACCTCCTCCGCCTCAAACTCCTGACTGTTGCCATTCCATTCCCAACTCAACCCAACAAAGTGGTTAATAAAAAAATTTCATCCATAAAATCAGATAGAAACAGAGGAAAGAAATAAAAGGTATCAATGATGGTGAATGATCAGATAGCACATCATATCATATCAATAAATTCTGTTCTCTCTCGCCGCCTTTGCTAAAAAATCAGCCTGACCCGCTGGGGCTGGGGAGGAGGAGATCGTTTTCTCTCTCACCTCAGGCGCGAATCTCGATCAATTGAATCTCTTTTTACATCTGTGATGAATGGCGATTGGATTCGAGTCTGACTGATGCAATTGTCGTCTACTTCGTTTTTTCACCTTTTTAATTTTCCTGGAAAATGCGGGAAAGCGTAGCTGGGAGTTAACTCGCGTGTATGGGGATAGTAGGGGACTGTGTTACAGGGTGGCTCAGATGGACGGAGCCTTTTATTATCAACACGCCATCTTTTACTTTACCATTTTGCCCTTCTTTTGTCTCTTTTTTACGTGTGCCTACTGTTACCATATTTTTTTATTTGACTTTTTGAATTTTTTTGATACCAGATTTTAAGTAATGCCTCTGATCAAATCACTAAATTAATTTTATATTCTTAATTGAGCTTTTGAACTTTTTCTTTTTTTTTTTAAAGTAGATAAACCATTGAATCTTATGTGCAATTTTATCTTTTTATTAACACTAAAATGTAAAATTGTAAAAGCACCTAACCCTTTAGTTTAAGTGGTTTTTGATCACTTTGAGATACATCCCCCTTCTCTTTTGGACGGGTTTGAACCCGTCCCATGACAATATTGTTAAAAAAAAAATGTAAAGTTGTAAACAAAGAAAGATAAAAAATGGAAAAATTGCATAGAATTTTTAAAATAAAATATAAAAATTTTATTTATCTAATAAATTGATTTGCACACATAAAGAACAACAGTTGCTATAGACATGGGTAATGAAGAAAACCTTGGCTTTACAAAGCCCAAAGCCTTGTTTTTAACATCAAAATGAATATCATTGATAATTTGCAAGATTGATTGAAAGTGGTGTGTATGGATTCTCCTATTCCTCTCTTTCCAAACATGATACACTATGGCATTCCAAACAAGTTTAATGAGAACAAAGTACAAGGACTTTCTCCTTATTTGCTTCCCCATCCAAGCTAATGGACCTTGCAAAGAACTAAAAGAGGGATTCATA